ACTTTGTCTGACTCAAAAATAATTCGGAAACCATGCTTATTTAAAAGTGACCCGGACACTAAATTCTTGCGAATTTTCGGCACATAAAGCACGTTGTTGAGAGTTAGCTCCTTTCCCGAGGTCATTTTCAGAACCACTTTTCCTTGACCCTTGATTTCAGAAGTTGCTGAATTTTCCATAAACAACTTCTCTCCGTTCTCAATAGCTTTGAACGTATCAAACATCTCTTTATCAAAGCACACATGCCTCGTAGCACCGGTGTCAATCCACTACTTTTTAGGGTTTGAACCTACCATGTTTACTTCAGAAATGACTACTGCGAGATTCAACTTCGACACATCTTGTGCCATGTAGTCAACCACGTTCGCTTCTTTCTTCTTCTTTGGTAATTTGCACTCCGAAGACTTGTGACCCACTTTGTCACAATTGAAGCATTTCCCTTGGAATTTCTTCTTGACAATTCCATCTTTCAGTCCTTGCTTGGTGTCTTTTTCCACCGGATGGCCCAGACTTGTTTTTGTAGTTCTTACTACTTTGACCAAGCTCCACAACATTGGCTTTAGCCACACCAGGATTGAACCACTTTTTCTCGGAACTTTTGTTGTCTTCTTCGATTCGAAGTCTATCAACGAGTTCTTCGACGTTCATTTCCTTTCGTCTGTGTTTCAAATAGTTCTTGAAATCTTTCCACGCGGGGGGTAATTTTTCTATAATTGCAGCCACCTGAAAAGTTTCACTCAACATCATTCCTTTGGCATGAATTTCGTGAAGGATCACTTGGAATTTTTGCACTTGACTGATAACAGTTTTGGAGTCCACCATCTTATAGTCTAGGAATTTGCCGACTATAAACTTTTTAGCCCCGGCATCCTCAGTTTTGTATTTCCGGTCCAAGGACTTCCACAATTCCTTAGCAGTTTTCATGGTGCTATATACATTGTACAGCGCACTGCTAGGCTGTTTATGATATAATTTCGGCACAGAAAGTCCGAATACTTCGAAGCATCAAGTGCACTCAATACTTGCATATTTCCCTCGCCCTCATTAAGTCTTGGAGCAGTTTCAGTCAAGAATCTCGCAAGATTTAAGGTGGTCAAGTAAAAAAATATTTTCTGATGCCACCTTTTGAAATTCAAGCTATTGAATTTCTCCATGATTAATCGGAACAGTTTCACTAGCGACTTGTTTTCTTACAAGTTTAAGACAGTTTTCTGAATTCAAAAAACAAGAGTTGGTTTTTGGTTTAACTGAATTTTAGTTACTTTGAACTAATATTTGGTTTTCAAAAATAAGAGTCATTTTTTTTTGATTTCATTGAATTGTAGTTTCTTGGAACTAATATTTGGTTTGTTTTCAGAAATGGCAACCGAATCGAACAACATGGATGTGACCCAAAATGTTCCCGCTGGAAATCAGGCTGTGGGTTCTAATGTGGCTCAAGGGCCAAATTCCGTTGTGGCTCAGGCTGTGGCTAGAATGCCAAGTCATGTTGTGAGAATGCAATAGCCGACTATTGAAATTGATAACCACAAGGCAAACGATTTCAATTTATCAAAAAAAATTTCGTTTCAGAATTTTCCAACGGTTCGAAAAAAAATGTTTAGCAACGTAAAATCAGAAATATAAATTAACTGCATGCTAAAATTATAAACGATGAATTTAGAAGTTGCACACTATGGAACTACAAACTGCATGAATCAAATAGTAATGCGAAAATAATCTGCAGAAATAAATGGAAACTGAGACTGTAAGGATAAACAGAATCTGCAAAGAAACTACACGAACCGCAACTAAATAAATTTGCAGAAAGAAAGAACAAATTGCAGCAGATTTCAAACGAGGCCTGTGCGCGCACAGTTTTTTTTAAGACAGTTTCGCCCTCTTACCATAGGTGCTGGAGGTTCAATTCGAGCAGCTGTCTCCCAGGATACAACGGTAATAAGCAGAATCCGAGCACCGCGGTCCTACTCTGGCGAACTGCACGTGACTGGAAGGGAACAGAAACTACACTGTATGGAAACTGGAAATCGGAACTGGGAAGAATATTTTCGTATGCAGAGAGAAATTTTTGTTCGTGTATTGAACTGTTGGAGTGAGCGTCCTTATATAAACTGAGTCCTGTCCATTGGAGTCATTGGAGTTACGACATTAACCACTGAAATTTCAGCTTTTCAGTTCTATCAATAAACATTGAGAGTTTTTGCAGTTTAGAAACTCAAAAGTCATTGGAGAAAGCCAAAAAAAATTGGCAAAACGTAAGCTCTCCGATGGGGCCATTTTTGCCTTATTCGGTCCAACATTCATGTGCGCAAGTCGCGCCCGCATCCAAGTTCAAGGTCCGAAAGTCATTTCGGTTCGTGATTTGCACCCCCTGCGCGCGCACGTGGAGAGAACCTCTATGCTACACATGATTACACATCTCCAAAGTATAGCCATATATAAAGTGGTTTAAGTTTCCTTGGTTTTTCTATATGGGATAAATGCATTTTTTCCCACAAAACCAACTTCCAATGACCAACTTTGAGCTCCAATTTCTCATTCACCCGAACTTCATTTTTGACAAATAAATACATGAAATCAATGTTCTCGCGGAGAAGAACACATATCAACTTTGATATTCCATATTGGACTAACGGGTCCCATCGAAAATTGTGTCAAAAGTGAGCCGCTCACTCAATTTTTTCCAACAAGTTCATGTTTGAGCCCCATTTTTCAAAATTTATTTTTCTTCAAATTCATTTTTAACAACATATTCTTTTAATAAAATAATTTACATATAAATTTTTTTCAGAAAATCCCACTTTTTAACCGTACAATTTTAAAAAAATCACTATTACAAAACTCATTTTTCACGTAAAATGGGGTTCAAACATAATTTGAGTTCTCTCTTAAAAAAACCCCAACTTATGCACACATTTGGTATGTTTCGTACACCAAATTAGAAAAACGGTTTAAAGGACATAAAAAGAAATATGATACGACTGGAAACTCAATTTACCCATTGAAAAAATAAAATTTTCAATAATATGACTTTTCTTTTAAAATGTGAGAAAAAATTATTTCTTCTTTTAAAATTGCCTTTAATTCAACTCCATAAGTTATTTAGAGCTTGGGCGTTGTCTCGTTTGAAAAAAATTCACAGCAATAATTCAACCACTTATTTTTCAAAAAAAATACTATTCCACCCATTTTATTTTCCACAAAATGGGGGCCAAACGGGAAAAAGTAAATGCTTGAGCTTGAGCTTGAGAAGCTTCTGGTCCAGTAGGTCCGTAAAACTCGCTAGCAGTTGACAAGCAATCCCCCCCTTTAAATTATTTATATATGATAAGAATAAATTTTAAACGTGATTACAGTGTGCTACTCAATTATATAATTCTCTCTCTCTCTCTTTTATTTTATTTATTTATATATTTTTTAAAGTCCTTTTGGATTGTTTGAAATAAACATTATGTCCTCGGATACTTTAATAGATAAATTAGACAAAGTTGGTGAGCTAAAATTCAAATGCTATAAAAGTTGAAGTGAGGCAATAGCTTACCAAGGCAATGATCAGTAGCTGGTCCGAGAGGATGATCAGCCACACTGGGACTGAGACACGGCCCAGACTCCTACGGGAGTTACCACTTAGTAGGTTTCCATACCAAGGCTCAATCCAATTAAGTCCGTAGCGTCTACCAATTTCGCCATATCCCGAACCGGCTTACTAATGGGATACCCTAGTACGTTACAAAATTGGTGAGCTAAAATTCAAATGCTATAAAAGTTGAAGTTTGAGGATTCAAATGTTAAAGAATTTACTTGAGGTCTCTAAACAATAGTTTTTTGCTATAACTTTCATTTTCTATTTCCAAAGCTATCGTGACAACTGACAAGCACCTCATCTGATTAAACGAGCATTATAAAACTTTGGCCAGAATTTGTCACATATGACCCCTTTATTTTACTTTCAAACAAATATTCAAGTTCGCTGACTTGATTGCCAAAGAATAGTAGTTCTTACTTCTATATAATTAACACAATACAATATAAAAATTGTATTATTAAAGAGTTATGCTATATGTATATTAGAATGTCCATAACGATATCCACCCTTCTCACATGAAAAAGATCTATTTCGAATAAAATATAATTTATCAGAAGTTGATTCCCTTTTATGTGAGGGGTGAATTTCGTTATAGACACCTTATTATATACAAGTGGCATATTTCATTATTAGATATGATTATTTTTAGTATGTTAACTATTATCACATCAGCTAGTGAAAATGTCATAGGAGTGCTAAATGGACATAGTAGAACCGTCGACTCCCCCATATCGTCGAGCACTAGTTGACTCGCTTCAAGGTAGTGGGCTCGACTGGCCCATGAACTTGCTCCTTAGCAAGGGCAAACTAAATCAAGCTAGCTCACCAATCGTTCGAAGATCGATATTTTTTTTTAATTTTGAGCAAAAAATGTGAATGGCTCGCAAGCCGGCTCGTGCAAACCTACGACCCTGCATAAATTTTTTGTTGCTCAGCTTATTCCACTTTCCATCGTTACAACGCCAATAACCACGAGTTAATAATCACTATTGATAGTACATTGTTGCAACTACTTACCAAGATTATTTTATAGGATAAAATTTAAACCCCATAATTCAAAATGCAATATAACTTTAAAATTTGAAATTTGAAATTGTAATTTATTTTGTTAATAAGCCCTAGTTTGTCAACCATTCTTTCATATTCTATCACATTATTTTTTCTACAGTACTCATTTTCAACCACACATTCTTCATTAAAATAACATTAAACATAAATTAAAACATTTTCTTTCTTTTTTAATTATATATTTTAATATCAATCACTATTTCAAATTAAAGGCCACAAACACGACCTAAGAAATTTGAAATTGTAATTATTTTGTAACGGACGGAATTATAATAATTGCCTCTCTTTGTGTCACTAGTCCAACTGGTGACATAAGAAAGAGAAACGATTGAACCAGTCTTCTATTTTATATGAACATTCCATTAAAATACTGATTAAACCTCCAAATTCCAAATCCAACACCCATAGATCGCAAAGCCGAAGAAGACCCTCCAAATTCCAGCTACCCCTACACGTTCTTTTCTTCTCTTCAAAATCCCAAAAAGAAACCCACAGAAGAGACCCAACCCCATCAACGATTTCAGTATTAGCTGTTATTAGCAATTTTATCCACCAAAAGATTCACTCTCACCGTGGTACTTTGCGTGGAAGGGGAGGGATGAACATTTACCGCAAGTTCCGAATCTTCTACTTTTTCCCAGCTTAGCTGAAAACAGCGTGTGGGCGCGTCTGTGTTTTTTTCCTCACTACTTTCCAGATGGCTAAGCGCGTGCACGAAGTTTGGAAAGGCAGCAATGTGAGACTTTTTTCTATCTGGGTTTGGCTCGGATTTTTCTGGGGTTTGCTTAATTTTTTGTTGGTTTTTATTATTAAGTTTTTAGTTTAGCTTAAATTGTGCTTTAATAGTCGTTGCATATTTCTGGGGAGTTCAAGTACCTATTAGCACTTAAACTAATAAATTTCTTTATTAATTTCGATTATGTAGAAGTGGGTTGATCAAAAGATTTTCTTTTCTATTGAGTTATACTTGTTGTTTCTCAGCTAGGGCTAGGCGAATTGTTTCGTGACAGGAAATGTTGAAATAAATAAATGTGTCTCCTCTAAATGAATTGGTTGAACATGTGTTCATGTCTCGCAATCACCCATTTATGAAAATTAAATTATGCACATGTCATGCTGTTAATATAAAACGAATTTGACCTACACATGAGAGGAAGTGAGCTTAATCTTTTAGATGAGCTTGTTCAATGTGAAATACTATCTTTGCACAGATTGTGCGTCCATAGTTGGGGATTTTACTGGATATTTAATGGTTATTTAAATTTGCAATTAGCTTAATGAACTTGAAATTATGGTGCCAAAAGGTGGTGTGTATTTTTTCCCCGGGGGGGGGGGGGGGGGGGGCTGATTTTTCCTCTACTTTTCTAGTTATGTTGGAAATTTTTAGAGAAGAATTGCGACTGCTATTTGAAAATGAAACCTAGAGCAAGCATTACGTTAAACTTTTGTTATTTTGTTGGAGAACAGGATTTTTTCGGTAATGGAATCTTAAATAGGTGTAAGTAGGGATCTAAAATCTCATTGACATTAGAACCTCATTGTTACATATCATCTCCATCTTGTGTTGTACCCTTATTTCTGTGTCTTTCGTGTATTCATCGGTAAATTTCGGAACAAGTGTTATATTTCCTTTTCATATGAGTAGTATTATCTGTTCTTGGGCCAATATTGGTGATGCAGGATTTGGTATGTGTCTTACGTTGCTTTTACCAATAAAGGTATTTTTAGTTTTGCAAGTTTGTTAAAATGATGTCATAAAGATTAGGATTCTTCATTAATTGCTTTAATGACATAGATGCATTTGGGTGATAGCACAAGGGTTTCCGGATTTGGAAAGTTTCTACAAGCTGTTGGATAGTTTTTCTTTGATTGAAGAACACTTGAAAAGCTATATACGTCTCTTACTGTTGGATAGTTTTTCTTTGATTGAAGAACACTTGAAAAGCTATATACGTCTCTTACTGTTGGATAGTTTTTCTTTGATTGAAGAACACTTGAAAAGCTATAAACGTCTCTTAAAATGCATTTTGAAAGAAAAAAGGGGGAATGGGTCTCACTAAGCTCGAGGAAAAAGACATATCTGTCTATTTTGAAGATGGAATTTTTTTAATAGAAACTGGAGAAAAAGATGAGAGAAGTTTCGATATGAATTATCTTAATTAAATAATATTATTTATTCATAACTCAAGACGAATTTAATTATATTACTTAAGTGAAGTTGTGGACTAATAAATCTAACTGAAAAGGAAATTGAGTAAAATGAGGCCTCGATGTATTGGGAAAGTTAAAAGCATCTAAAATTCTAAATTATATAGGAAGCCTATTAACAATGCTAAGACCTAATTTAACTTGATACTATAGCAGACATGTTGATACTTGCTGCAGTAACTAATGAAAGAATTAACTCCTCTTTTCTCCCACGTGAAAAATACTCTTCTTGTGGCCCAACTTTCTTGGATTGGAGAAAATCTCATTCTTCAGATTGAATTTTTGGAATCAACGGGCTATCTGACAAATGCTTTCCAATCCTTTTATGTTACTTAGGGAAACTGGAAATTGATAGACAAGACAAGAATATATTTTTATCCATAATGAATCCTGCTGTATGATATTTTATTTAGGACTTGCTCGTGTAGAATAGTACCGAAAGTTAAATGGGTTGTAGCAGAAGCAGTCATTAAAATTCTCACTCATAACTATTCCAATTTTTTCACCAATACTTGGTGACTTATTAATTTCATAATGGTGTATTTGTCAAGGTTCGAATATAAACATCAGGAATTTCGTTTGACTGCAAATGAACTCTTTTATATGGTCTTTAGTGCATGACTAAGCATTCTAAGTCACTTGAATCATTATGGGTAGAGTGGCAGAGAATCTCAAATGAACTCCTGATTCTTCTGGTCAGTCTAAAGATTCAGGGCTGGCTTCTTGAATTTCACAAAAAAAAACTCCTGATTGTTCATCAAGTCACTACTTTCTCTATTTACTCAAATTGTCTCTGCTATCTTTCAACTTTTTGTTGACTTTTATATTGCCTAGTGGATGCTGTCTTTGGCTTTTATGCCAATTGATGTTACGAAGTGAAAGAGGAAGAGGAAGAAAAGACACGTGTATATCAAAAATTGAGTTTCTTGGGAGGAAGCATGAAAAAGGAAGAAGAAAGTTTCCTCAATGAATATTAATGCTTAGTTATTGCTGACTCTAAACATAACTGAGTAACTGAACTAGTGAACTGTAACAACACCACTAAAGTTGGTTTGAGTTAACTAGGAAAAGGATATAATAAAATAGATAAGAGATCCTGGAAAAATCCGGGAAACCGATTAACAAAGATGAGACTTTATTAGGGTAGTATATACAGTATTGCAACTAGCATGGGTGCTAGATTTACTATTTAAAAAATAGTTCTTCCCTCCTCTCTTTCTCTTTTCTTTTATTTTTACTTGCTAATTACCATTGCTTATTAACACTGTCAGATTGGCAAGAGGAAGAAAGTAATCTGATCCATATTGAAGCCTTTATTTTCTAGGGTAAATCAAGAAAAATATTTGAAGTGCAGTTGTTTGCAAAAGATTTGAGTTCTTGAAAGAACAATAGCATTTTTTTTTTTTTTTTATTAGAGTCTGAAGAGGTTATTGGATATTGTAAAAACCTGATATTTGTATATCCTGCTAACTTGTGACTATTCAATAAAGTAACTCAATCACTGCTGAAAAGTTATGGTAGTGGTAGCTGGCAAAGAGAGTATCGTTTCATAACAGTCATTGCGCATTAGAAATATGGACATTTATGTAACCTCGAGGGACAAGAAAATCGCAAAAACCTTGAAAAATGACTAACAATATAGAGAATGAAATGAGCATTATTTTCTAGCAAACTGATGTTATAAAAGATTTGAAATACTTGTAAAGGGATGCTGTTGACATTGCTCAAACCTTTTAGTAGAAAATATAATCTGGAGAAGGAAAATGTAAAATATGTTTAAATTTGATTTTAGATTTAGATATAAATTAGCCTTCAATTATCATAAAAGTCTCAACAACTAATGGCAAACAAAAATGTATCAATACTGTCTGCTAGTTAAATGATCAAGTGATAAAAATAACAAAATGTGACATACTTGAATAAGATTCATATACAGAAAACGGTAGGAATGGGAGGAGACTTTGCAGATGAGGTAATTGGATTTTCTCGTTTTCCCTATTTTCAGGGTTTTTTTTTTTTTTTTTTTTTTTTTTTTTTTTTAAAATTTTTTTTTTTTTTTTTTTTTTTTTTTTTTTTTTTTTTTTTTTTTTTTTTTTTTTTTTTTTTTTTTTTTTTTTTTGTTTTTTTTTTTTTTTTTTTTTTTTTTTTTTTTAAGAAATTTAATTTCCTTATAATGATTTTCCATCTTTTGACCTATATCATGTGGAACAAGTGATCATATGATAAACGAGAAACATCTTCAGACGTTCGATTTCTTCTTGCTCTACTCACCATTAGTCTCTCTTTCAAAGTTCGGGAGAAGAATAGGATGCCATGGGCTTTTCTGTTCCAACTTGACACTAACTCGCGATCCTTTAAACCATGAAGATGACCAAAAAGAGAAACTGAATAAATGTTGCCTGAATTAACTAGTGCAGACAATAAATAACATATTCTAAAACTTGCTGACACAAAGATAGACAAGTGGTGATTTGACCAAGATAGTCTAAACAGCATTTTTTTTCTTTTGCCACCACGGGTCGCAGAGAGTAAATTTTCTTGAATTAAATTATTTTTCTTCAGTTCTGATGTTTGAGGGTAACCCATTTCTAGATATTCATCTTTTTCACATCAGTATGTCGCTCGTTTAATCTATTCCATGATTTGATGCGATGACATGAAAATTTGAGTTGTGAGACAGCAATGGGCAATAAGTTTGCCCTTACCAAACATTTCTGTAGGAACTTGTATGCAGGACCTGCCTTAGTAGCACAGCTCAAGAAGTTAGAATTGATGTAGCAAATGTGAATATCCATATTTATATGTCTAAAATCTGATAATACTGGAGCTCCTGTCTCCTTCCTTAGAGCCGACCAATCCACTTCATTCCCCGATCAAAATAAATAAGATTTATTTTAGCAGATAGAGTTATTCGCCATCCTCAAAATATTACCATCCTGGATTCTGCCATTTGCAGCTTTCTGAGAACTGATTAATTTCCTTATGATCACTCTATTCAATAACTCTAGTAAACTGAAACTGTGCAACAAAGAAAAATAAAGAATTTTTGAGAGCTGGTTACATGCATAGAAGGAAAGTCAATGAACATTCAATTTACTTCTATAGGAATTAGATCAAGCACTTGGTGAATTTTGTTAGTTGTAAGAACTAAGAAGAAATGATTGATTTACTTGAATTATCATTGAAAGATGGTCAATAGATTGGATTAGAATTTTTGATTGACGCCTTCTTTATGAATCTAGGTCTCAGGTCTGATGTCAATATGGTAGAAACTCAGTGTTCTGATTCTCATTGATGATAGTCCTGAGAACAAACAGACGCTTCATCCATTTGTTGGCTTGTGTTGAGCTGAATTTTTTGCCCATCTGCCTAAAGTCTTTAACGATTTTTTTGAAAACTCTAGAAGAAAAAATTGGAGTACAAAATGGTGCCGCAAGTAAAATTACAAGCGTGAAGTGCAAGGCCATAAAAGTTTGAATTTTCCAACGGAATTGCATAATTGTCTCATGTCCGTATTAATTAGGATGAAGCTTTCTTGTAGAGGTTTGAGCCGAAAATAGTGGGTGCATTATTCTTAATGACTCAACCTTCTTTTTATTTTATATTGGCCATTTTAGAGAAAGTGGTGTATACTACTCCCAGTAAGGTAAAATGAAAAAATCAAATTCAGATTAAATTGCTTTATTGTTTCCTTCTTCTTGTGTGGGGATGGGCTAACTGTGTCAATTAACAATGTCGGATTGTATGAAAGCATGGCTTGAAAATAGAATAGGTGCATGACTTGTTAATTGTCTTAGAATTACTTTTTGAAACTGGAAGGTCTTAATTGTGTGCTAAGATTCGAATGGTCATAAGGATAACTCAGGATTACACGACTTAGTTAATTACTTGCTTGATGTAGAAGAAAGGGGCTGCCAGCATAAGCAATTCTCAGAGTTTCGGCGGACTAGGCTTAGGAGTTGAAGTGTTCCTACATTCCCCCTGTCCTTCGCTTAACCTACAAATTGAGATTTATAACTTTAGAACTCCTCTAGACTAGGATAACTATAAAAATGATGGTAATTAGTCTTGTAATGAGTCTCAAAATGGGGGTAGGTGGGGGGAGGCAGAATGGATGTAAGAACTGGCTATCATAGCTAATATCTGTGGTGCTTAGTGTACAGCACACCCTGTGACTGTGGCCGTACATGATATCTGATTGGGGCCATCTAAAAGATAATCTGTATATTTGTCACCTGAAAAAGAATGATGGCTACAGTCCATGAGTTGCGAATTGTTCTTCCTTTTGAGGGTTGGATGAAATGGTAGCCCCACTGACTCAGGCCATGTAAAAGATAATCTGTATATTTGCCTGAAAACAAACGACGCTACACTCCATGAGTTGCCGAATTGTTGTTCTTGGAGGTGCTAGTGAAATGACATTGAGTTCTTACACTGATAGTCTCTCCTTCATGTTCGACAATGGGATAAAAGGTTATTAAGTGCTTATTTGGATAAAATTACAAGTTGCTGAAATTATAATGTGAGAGAAATTAGTGGTGGATAAGTGAGTAGTAGTTTTGGGTCCTATGAAATGTATGATTAAAATTACTGTTTGAGTTTGACCATTAAAATATAAGGAAATTGTAATATTTCCCAAACATGCACTTCTATTTGCTCTGTTGGCCTAATAGAGGAGTTATTCTAACCTTTTAGTGCTGGGATGCCAAGGATGATAACTGAAATACTTGCAAAAGTCCATCAAGTTTTCAGTTGTGACTTCAGATATTCAATGAGAAAAATGTTTCTCGTGCTTGATCTTTGTTCTACAATTATTTTTCAAAACTTGTTAATTCAATTGGTTTGACTTTTAATTATTTTAAATGACATACCAACACTTATGTTGAACTGATATATGTGACTTTTGTATATAACATCTCTATTGTCTATCTTTGCAGAAATTTTTTCTTGGTGGGAGGTTGATTTTTGGACCTGATGCTAGGTCACTGCTTGTCACCTTAATGCTAATCATCGTCCCAGTCGTTATCTTTTGCATTTTCGTTGCTAGGCATCTTCGCCATGAGTTTTCATCATATAATGCAGGATATGCAATTCTGGTTGTCACAATTGTCTTCACTGTTTATGTTAGTTCCCCAAATCCTTTACTTGGTTCTTGACTCTGCTTTAATTATTATGAAAATGCCTTAAGTTGTTTGCTGATGTATGGATTATTGAGGCTTACCTAGTCGCTTATTACTTAAATGGGTAAGGTTATATCGACACCTACTTGTTAATATTTCTCCTAGTTTTTCTCTGATTGGCGCAGAGACTTGGGATCTGTGTTCCATTTTTTTTTCAAGTACTCAATATTCTTGTACACTTGTTTATAAATCTTTAAGGGAAGTCATAGTTCACGGCAGAAGGGATTAGATCATAAGAGAAGTTAGAGATGCGAAGCAAGTACAAGTGCACTCAAGGAAGCTTTGAATCTAATTTCAAATCCTGGAGCCAGCAAAGAAAGTATGATGGATTTAATCCAGTACTGCTAGCAGCAATGCTTTGTCAGCAACTGTATACAGAGTCCAAATCAATCACTACAAAAACACCTCATTGATTGGGGATTATCTACTGGATTCTAAAACACTAGAGGTGATCGGGCTATTTCAAGCTAGAAGGATTGATCACTAGGATTTGTAAAGCACAATTTTTATTTTGTGTTCATGATAGGGTTGTCTTTTTATCTAAATTTTAAACCTCTAGTTTTCTTACCATTAACAAAATCAGATGGCGTAATCTCAAATGATCTCAGATTTTCTTACCATTAACAAAATCAGGCTATTTCAAGCTAGAAGGAGTGATCACTAGGATTTATAAAGCACAATGTTTATTTTGTGTTCATGATAAGGTTGTCTTTTTATCTAAATTTTAAGCCCTCTAGTTTTCTTACCATTAACAAAATCAGTTGGCTTAATCTCAAATGATCTCTGATTGACTTGCATAGCCATTGAGCAGTGGATATAGTTTATTCTATTTAACTAACTGGCAGCAATGTGGGTTAGTATATGCTCAATTTGTTTCAATTTCTTTTAATTTGAATTTGGCACCCGAGACTAAAACCAGTGGATCATGGACACAAACAAATTCTTTACTTCCCATTGAATGGTTTTGAACACCTAGGAAACCTTATAGTTGATGCTTGACATGCTGGTCAGTTAACAACGGCAAGAATCTGAATGCACTGAACTCTCCTCGAAGGAGCTCCTAACAACCTTATATGTTTGGAGAAGCTTAAGTCAGAAGTTGAGCTTTAACTTGGACTCATGTAACTCAAATAAAAAAAGAATAAAACAAATGACCTTGTGACTACTTCTAAATTTCACATGAGGCAAGCTGGCAGATGATGTCATCGTTCAAGCGCTTCTTTTGATATCAGCTAAGTCTTGCAATGACTTTTGATAAGGACTATGTAAAATGATAGCTTTTCAGGCTAGTTTGGGTTGTTCGATGGATTAGACGAGTTTCTACTCTTGGTTATGGCATAAAGATGATAAAGTTCATGCTAAAGGAAGGAGAGGGCCTTCAAGGCTTTTATTTGTGTACTGCTGATCTCTCTTGTACACACACAGTCTTTTTGTATGCAGCATGACAAGGAATACAGGAAACACCGCAAATATTCCTAATAATACTGGGTGCATAGGATGTTTTAGGTGATGATATGCACTTTTTGGAATGGCTGCTTAGATTGTAGTGAGAGGACAGTATAGTGAAGTGATTTTGAGCTGTCTAAGTTAAAATATTGCAGCATATAATTTTATGTAGAATGCTCAAGGTAGTCATCTGCTTTTGCATAAAATATTCAGTTACTTAATTTTATGTTATTGTGGCGTGTCATGGTTATTTTTCGCACGTAGTGCTTGATATATAATAATGTAAGGTTTGACTGGAATAATTCCTTAATTCATTTTGATAGGTATTGGTGCTGCTTCTACTTACATCAGTTCGGGATCCAGGTATTGTTCCCCGTAATTCACATCCACCAGAAGAAGAGTTTCGTTATGACACTTCAGCATCAATGGAGGTTGGTGGAAGACAAACACCAAGCCTCCAATTCCCTCGAACGAAAGAAGTAATGGTTAATGGGATCCCTGTCAGAGTTAAATACTGTGATACCTGCATGCTTTATCGCCCTCCTCGTTGCTCGCACTGCTCCATTTGTAACAACTGTGTGGAGCGTTTTGATCATCACTGCCCTTGGGTGGGCCAGTGTATCGGACAGGTACGTTTTTTGTGTGACTGATAACATTTTCCCCCCCTTCTCCTTCTCTTGCTTCTTCTTGAAGTTTTTACTTGTGTTATATCTCATTATTCTCCCATTCTTTTAGCTGCTTTCTTACACCAAAACCTAACTGATTCTTCCCTTGAATGTGCAGCGGAACTACCGTTATTTCTTTTGTTTTGTTGCTTCCTCAACTCTTCTTTGCATCTACGTGTTTGCCATATCTGCTTTTTATATTAAGGTTCTAATGGACGATCGTCAGAGCACAGTCTGGAAGGCAATGAAAGAATCACCTGCAGCTGTGATTCTAATGGCCTATGGTTTTATTTCTCTGTGGTTTGTTGGTGGACTCACTGGCTTTCACTTGTATCTGATAAGCTCGAACCAGGTCAGTTACTTTTCTTATTTTCTAGGTTTTAAATTTCTTCTATTATTATAAGGTTGTTTAGCTTGTTTAAGACTAGCCTTGCCATTGGGTTTTGTCAGAAATTTCCATCAAATTATTTAGAATTTGGTTCTAGTTTTGGTTAAATGCATAGTTATTGTTGGCACGAAACAACTCGTCTCTTGTACGTATGTGATAAGTCTGTCATCATTTGTTATAGATATTTGTTGGTTTGAGATGGCAACGTCTAAAGATGTTATGGTGACAGTTGATACTGATATTATTTGTACACATTCTTTTCTGTCTGCAGATTTGTGCTATGGTGAAACTACTTCCTCCTCTTTTTTCCCCCCCTTGATTTAGTGGTTGGGCTGGGCTGGGATGAGGGTTTCAGGATGGTAACCAAGAAAAAGAACATTTCTGGATATCTTCTCTCAGCCTGGTTGTGAATATATGATTTAGACACAAAAATGGAAGTGTGTGGAAATAACTACTTTTTCCCCAATTTGACTAGGTTCTTTTTTTTTTTTTTTTTTGGGTCACTTTTCCATTCCCTAGTTAGATCTTGATAACCCCCCATTCATCTAGCTTTTCTTTTTCCCACTTTTAATTTTTTTCCTCCTATGTTTCTTTTAGTCTTTTCTTTTTGGTCCGGGGCACGGATTGAGATAGGGGAATAATTTTGCATGATTGAGAACCCATGTAGTTAGTCCATTCTAAAGTTCTTTGTTTACTGTTTAAACAAATTCCTTGTATTTGTTCTCAGTCCTTTTTATATAATTTCTAATCCTCTGTTTTAAATCAAGTGTTCCTTTTATGAATCTGTTCGCAACAATATTGTAGACAAAGCCTGTTATATAAAGAAAGTACGATCAAAGGATGATTAGAATCAACTTTAAGATTTATTGACGTAAGATAGCCTTGTTTTCTTTTTTATTTTTGTTTATATTTTTAATTTTAAGTTGCTGTACTGCAATATAAGATCATATTTGTTTTAGGGGAGAAATTGAATGATTTCCTTTAGTTTTATTCACACTGAAATTTTGTTAATGGTTCAAGTTCCGAACTTTGGAAACTAATACGCATCAGGATAGAGAATGGGTTTAATTTATAACTATAATTAACCAGATTAAACCTAGCAAAATTTACACCCAATTCTGTAAAGCTCGTATAACAGCATGCAACACATGAGCCACTTGAGAGTGAAATCATGTAAGGCTGAAATCACCTCAGAAAATAATTTTTATAAGCTAACACACTAGATTACTGCTCACGAAGAAGTTTCTAAATTTGAGTAACTGTTGCCAACTTTATGTTTGGGAAACCAGCTGGCAAATCTATGTCCTAAATACAGTTAATGAATCCTAGTTAGTAAATTAGTAAACTAGGCTCGAAATAAGGAATATGATCTGTACACATTTTCTTATAAGCTTCTTCTGCAAATTTTACGTAGTCACGTACGAGTCTTGTGTTTGACTTTTACGGGGCAAATTTTGCTGGTATGGTGCCAATTAATTTCAGATTATGCGGAGTACCTTATAATGGAAATTTTTTACTGAATACTGTTTTGAAGCTTACACAAAGTGGAGTCTTGCAAGTTTTGTACAAAGATGAAAAGATTGTTAACCATATAACTTTTGCTCTTGGTGACAGACTAGCGCACATATATAATATTGCGGAGTCAAGTACCATATAACTCTTTCAAGTAAACCATGTGGTATGTTAGTGATTTACGGTAGTGAATGGGATTGTCTACCACTCTCTTGAGATGGTCCTTGTCCTTTCACACCTTTTTATCTCCTAACCTCCGTGTGTTTGTCGTCTCCGGAAATAGATATGGAAAAGACAAATGTACAGTACATAACTCGCCAGATAAAATTTTGGAAATGCATCTCAGGATCGTTTTACTAAACATTGCACCGAGTTTTTGAATAATGAGTGTGCCTTTGAGTATTCTGTTGAACTGCTGTATTTATTGGTACTTGGTTGATGGCAATTGGCAGGAGGTAAAACTTAACTTTACTGATTCTGGATTGACGAGTTTATTTCTTTAAAATGATGGGATGTACGTCACTGCCATCCACTGTTTTTCTAACCATAATTGGAATTTTCGATGATGTATGTGTGGATTGCATAGTATCCGTCCACACATTTTGCGTTCTTGTAACTTCTGATTTCTGCTCATGTTTTGACAGACAACATATGAGAATTTCCGATATAGAGCTGACAACCGAATCAATGTTTATGACCGTGGCTGTTTAAATAACTTTCTCGAAGTGTTCTGTACGAAGGTGAAACCTTCAAAGAACAATTTCCGAGCTTTTGTACAAGAGGAGACCCAAAGATCTACAACTGTACCCATCGCCCGTGAATCCGAAGCTGAAGATATAGGTGACCGTCGCATGAAAGTAGAAGATGACATGGACATAGGTGGAGATCTTTTAAAGATCTCCCAACGTCATAATATTGAAGACATTGAAGCAGATATTCGTAGCAGAGGGAGTGATGTGCCGCATCATAATTCCTCCGAGGCCGATTCTGCTCTTGGTTCTGATAGACGAGGCCCTGCTGTGCAACCCGACACATGGCACTCAAGTTGGGGGAGAAGTAGTGGGAGCTGGGAGATTGCAAATGAGGTGGTTCGCACAAATTCAAATGTCACAGAAAGTAGAAGTTATGCCACACCGAAAGAAGCATACCAATGAGCACAAAAGGACCGGTTGGCGGAGCATATATCGATTAAGAGGTGACATGTACAGTACTTGGAAGGAGCCATTCACTTGGACAATTGTTGGTGCTTTCTGATTTTCGGAAGGAAAGATGCCATCTGTGAGGTAATCTATGCAAAGTGGATTTGATTTCGTATACCCTAGAACTTGTTTTTCTCATGTCATCTATCTTGAATGGATTGGTCGAATCTATTTTTGACAAAAACAGTGAATAGAAACGTCTTTATGTGGGGAAGACTAGGGAAAATGCCTTATCTTTTTGTATTTTCCCTCTAACATTAATCTGGTGTCTATTGATGTGCAATGGTGTGCTTTTCCATGGATTGATTTTTCTCATACTGGGTTTCATTCTTTGTGTAATTAACTCCCTTTCTCATATGTAAAAGATATCCAGTTTTCTGGTGTGATTGGTATTTGTTTGCTCCCAAATTTGCAGTATCTGGGTGTAAATTTGGTCTGTTGATACATGAAAGCTGATTTGCTTATTTTTCATTGTTTGAGGTTGAGGTAGTGTTTGGATTAACTTTTTTTTTTTTTTTTTTTTTCAACCGTATACCTGTACTCATTCTTGATGAACGGTATATCCACGTTGAATGCTGCTCCCGACGTCCTGCGTCTCAAAATTGGGAGCATGAGCAATGTCGTGTGGAGGTAGAAGGCTATGGATCGAGACTAATTTGTTTGAGTCAAGTCTCTATCTAATATGTAAACATTCTTTCAAGGCATGAATCTATTTTATATTAATTGAGTCAAATAAATGAATTTTAAAGATAAATATGAACTTTATTCAAGTTGATCCTAATAAAAGCATTATTTAAAAGAATAGAAGCATGTGTTCAAAATGCACGATTACTACAATAATTTGAGCTAAGATATGGACTAATATAATAATAGAGCATTAACGTAGTATGGTTCATGTCAACATCGTGGCCGGTGCAGTTGCCTTTCCCACTTCTGTTTTACAAGCGACTTAGCCTCCGTTTGACAATAAATTTTACAAAAAAAATGAACCGTGCTAGCGAACTGTGCGGTTGACACACATGCACAAGGTGGGAAATATTTTTTAATTCGACACAGGACCCATGCCTCGGCTGTGAGGGAGCGGTCATCCATGGTTTCAGCGCCGCGGGTCGTTTAACATTTTTCAAAAAAAAAATTCAAACTTATTTTAGATCACATTTTCTCAGAATAAAATATTCTACATGTAAATTTAGTATTTTTTTTAACTACTTTTTAAGTACACATTTTTCAAAACTAATTTTCTTCCAAAAAAAAAAAAAAATCTCCTTATAATGATCGTCGAAAAGAGGTTTATTCTTGCGATGTTTCGAGCCAGGGGTTGAAGACGAGAAAGTGCAGGCCTGTCCCAAGTCCATTTAGTTTTTCTTGGGTTCAGTATAATTTTTATTTATTTATTTATTTTTATTTTTTTGGACTTTGCCTTGGTCGGAGCTCAATTTCCACACGCTTAAAAAATTATTAATGGTCAAACACTCAAAAGATACTTTGTAAGGTCGGAACATAGAGGTGAATTCTAAGAATTTGTGTATGATTTTCGAATAATGCTATCTAGTACTAGTGGTGTTAGAATATCAATCTACGTGGCACATTTGATAAATTCAAGTAAATGAATCACGTGATATATCATTTAAATAAATGCATCATTTAATGGTGCTTGACACCAGTACACCAGTGATGTTGAATAGCGTTACTCGTCATTTTCTGAACATGCTATGAATGAAATCAGCTTATATAGGAGATCCACGACCACCACTTTAATCAATTTTGACATTGCACAGGAACTTTGAGGCACTAAGCGTTATTCCTTGAAATAGCTATAGCAACCACTAAGGCCCATGTTTGGTTTAGATAAAAATTAAATTTTTAGTAGATTTTGATAAAAAATTGATGGAATGTATGGTTAAAATCAATGTTGACTTTGTCTTGATTTTATTTTTAATTCAAATTTTTATGTACACCAAACGGGGGTCAAGTTTAATTTGTCCGATCAAGAATGTTGATTGGTCGACTCGCCTACATATTGTGTGAAAAATGTTGTTACAATTGTAATGATTTATTCGATCTAACTTTACTTCAATGGAAAGTTATAACATATCTATGCTATGACCCAACGACATAAGTCCGACTTCGAGATTTCTTTAGTCAAACTTTTATATTAATCATCGAAATTGTGCCTAATGAACGATATGTCGGTATAGTCGAGGCAACTTCAAAAGTAGAGACCCTTTTAACCAATAGTTCAAATTAAGCTGAACATCGGACATGTGTTGGGAAATTATTAATTTGCAACGTGGGCAAATATATATATAATTAATTGTATATAAAAACTATTTTAAAGTTAAACCCAAAATTAAAATGATCTAATAAAGAATTAAGTAATTGGACTTAGGGTATCTAAATAAAATATGTGTCGAATTATATGTATATAGATCAAATTCTTTTAGAATTGTAGTTCATGATGGGCGAAATACGTGTGAAAACTATATATAGGGTTACAGTCCCCAATTCATATACAACTTTAATTATTTATGTCATCCCATCAACAAAAGAATTTATAAAGGAAGCATATTGAATATGAAGATCCAAAAAGTTAAAAACCTACAATCAATAACAGGCAATATATAATCAAGAATCAAGAAGAATATTTCAAGAATCAAGATTGAAGATTCGGAAGACAAGATTCAAAGATTATAATTTAAAACTCATTATTTGAGAGACGAATCAATATATATTTCGTATTAATTATTTTTCCTTGGTAATTTGACATGAATATCTTGACAATTATGTACAGTTTATAAAGTTTAAATTTCATAAATATTCAATAACATATAGTTTGGGCACGTATTTTATGTGTGCAACATCGAGTATTGATATGGATAATGTCTTTCTATTGTGGTGGTAATATTCTATTTTAGTTGGAAAATGAAGTGCCCCACTCGACCCACACCCACAAAATCACTTGTTATCCCACGTGGGTTGTGATCTCATCTATAAGATAAAGACAACTATTGTTTATCGATTATATGTCTTATTCTAGACAAATGTGACATTATAGAGGTAGAAACAGACAAAACTAAATCTTGTTTGAGACGTACACTTCTGCTTTAAGGAACTACGGATAATATATTTTTATTTATTTAGATATTTTGTTCATAAAATATCTTAATAATATGCAATAAGTTATCGATGTCGATTTTGTTTAGAGCTAATCCACCCACAATTTGTTGGTTCAATTGCACAAATTAGAAACTCATTCAGGTCGGATTTACTATAAAAAGAAATATCAGGGACGGTTTAAGATTTTCATCATCTTGCGATGATAATATATTTTTATTTATTTAGATATTTTGTTCATAAAATATTTTAATAATACGCAATAAGTCATCGATGTCGATTTTGTTTAGAGCTAATCCACCCACAATTTGTTGGTTCAATTGTACAAATTAGAAACTCATTCAGGTCGGATTTACTATAAAAAAGAATATTGTGGACGGTTTGAGATTTTCATCATCTTGCGATGATATTCCATGGAATTGAACATGATTCGATTTGAATGATTTGTGACAAATTTTCAAATCAAACCACTTAAAATAAATAAATAATAAATTGAGTTGACTAACTATAGGAAATAAAAATTCATGATGTGTACTGAGAATTTTTATCTGTCTTCGTTTGAATATATTTTTAGGCTGGAATCATGCACTTAAATACCTTAAATCGTGATTGTTACTAAACTTATGCTGTAAAAAAATATGGATTTAACATTTTGTGATTACATTATCGTGACTTCTACATGATAATGGAATCCGTGGACAACCAACGAGGGATGGTCATAATAAAGTTTGCAAGTCGATGAGTCTATATTGTGATTCCTCCATTTTCAATTAAAAGATGTAGCTGGTTGGTGATTTAAAATATGACTTCGGCAATCTCCATATTTGTGAGAAACAAACTTGTGTTTATTTCATATTTCCGCTTGTTGTGTAGAATATATTCAGTCTGTGACTTAAGTTTATGCATTGCTTATTTGTGACCAAGAGGCTTATTAGTGCTTATTTCAAGTATAGAATATTTTCAATTTGTGACCTCTCATTATTGACTCTTATACGATATCTTTATGGTGGATATTATGACGTGTGTGACCCTAAAGTTTTCTCTAAGAATTGTGCCTCGTGTGATTTTGTGACGTTCATGACACGTGCATTGTGTGACGGTGTAATTTGTGATGTTACAATTATGACTTACAATTCTTTTGATATTCTTACGACAATGGTCTCTAGTCACGTTGGACTATTGCATGGAGGCCAGAAATCAACGTGACTTATTACAACTGTCAACTTTTGATTTCATCATCAATTAAGTGCGACCTATAAGATTTGTGACTGTGACAAAATGTTACAAAAATGTGATGGTCTATCGCTTATGTTATATGTACAATTGAAGAATATTATCCAAAAAAAAAAAACATATGAATTTGGAAAAATGTAACTTCATTCGAAAATTATAACTGCGATCTATGATGTTGTGTGATTGTCACATAAGTGTTACTATGACCTAAAATATTTGTAATATGGTATGAGCATGTAACATAAGAATTATCTTATGTTATCTCATTTAAAACATTCAAAACATCAACAATTTGTGTAATCTTATTTTTAAATATGCATTTGCAACAATACCACACTAAACAAGTTTTGAATATTTTGTAAAATTGAAAATAACAACTCAAATGCGCACTTCACTTTCTAAAATAAATCAAACCAAGCCAAACTAAACTATTTATGTCCATTTAATTGGATTGTATAAAATTTAAATAAATTATTTTCAAAATTTTTATTAAACAATTTGGCAGTTTAAAACAATAAACAAAAATTGAAATCTAAATCAATTCTTTTGAAACAGTTTGATTCGATTCAAAATCAAAACATTTCACAGACCAACTTGGATCCAAATTAACGATCTCAAAAATGCAACGACTTTGATTCAATTTTGTGGTTTCATGATTTTCTTATTCAACCCTAATATCTCATATTTGTCTTATCCAAACAGATTACAGGAGTGTTTGTTTCTCATTTTTGCAAAAATGAGAATGAAAAATATAATCGTTATGGGCTCCACACAAGATATAAAAATTCAAATTTGGTGACTTAATATGATGGATAACGATCATATTTTTCATTTTAATGAAAAATAAATGGAAAACAAACAGGGACTACATAGCATCTCCACTGCAAGCATGGGTCTCTTATTATTGCAAATCAATCAAAGTACTATCTTGATGTAATACCCGATAGTAGACAAAAATAAGACTTCCCGTTACAAGATTAATCCTGCTACATAAACGGGCTAAGTGACAATTTTTTAAACAAATAAACACATGACGAATTCTCATTGAAAGTTAAAAAAAATACAGAACACCGACGATCAAAGGCTGACATTTCAGCTCCTGGAATAGGCAATTGTCACTAGGCCTAATGTGCCTTTGAGCGATTTCTAAATAAAATAAAAGTTAATAACATAGTTCGATATGTACTAACCTAACAAAATATATGTCACGATATGTTTAAATGAATACATCAAACTTGTACTCTCGTAGGTCACCATCAAACTATACATCAAAATCCTCGACACATTTTAAGCTAATAGACCCAGCAAAAATGGACAAAAATTTAAGATAATGATTATTACAACTCCATCAACAAAAAACGCTCCTTGGTTAATGGCATATAAACGAATGAAACGTGTCTGTACAAAGGACACAACGAGCATAGGGAATCGTGTCTCCTTTAAAAACGACATTTTAAAATTGAAAAAGTTTACTGATACCCTATATACAAAAATTATTTACATCGAGAAAAGTCATTTAAAATTTAATCACTCATCTGAATTATCGACATTTTAAAATTTAACTACTCATCTGAAGTTTAGCCTAGTCGAATTCCAAATCTGCGACTTTTAAAGTGTGATACAAAATTGTGTCTTGATTATTGTCATGAACAGTAGAGAGGAATAACGTGAATTCTTGTATTTTAGTCATTGTTTTTATATTTAAGTGAATTAAAGAATTACCATTAACAGTATTTATTTATTAGAAATTAAAAGATTATATGACAATTTCGTTTCCAATAAGTGAAATATTGGACTTTATTTTATCATTACTCTATTTTTATTTCAAACGAATTATTCTATTTCATTATTAATTAGCTCGTCAAATAAAAACATTTATTTAAATTTAACATAACATAAATAAATTTGATTTAAATACAAAACCAATTACTACGGCCAACACCAATATTTCTATTTGTAAGCTAATGAATTTTTACGAAATGACATGAATGAATAAAATTACAACTTCAATTATTTATTAAAAAAAAAAAATTCACCACCACACGTGCTTATTGTCTGCAAACAAATGGAAGTTTGATTAAAATCATTGACCAAAATAAGTTGAAAATTTTGAATCTTTAAAAAATAATAATAATAAATAAATAAATAAATAAAAATAAATCATCCCTGACTGGTTGATCATTTATGCCTATTCACTTACAAGATTAACGTACAAATCCCATCTAGAAACACCCATTCTTTAATTTCTACTTATCTTTAATCTTCATACATTTATAAAAATATATATAAGGACCTGTTTGATAAAAATTGATATTCAAACTTTGATTTAATTAATTTTAATCACATATCTTTTGAACCACATATTTAGTCAACGTTTATCATATCTATTAAAATTTTAATGTTAATCCGTATCAAATAGAGGTTAAATATTATCTCGTCCTATTTGGTATAATTGAAAATTTTGATAAAAATTTAAGTCAAAATCAACCAATTCATTTTAATTACACATTTTATGATAACCACAATATTTCAACTATGTATCCATCAACTTTTACAATAAAAATCTAACATTTAGCTGCACTACACTAAACTGGGCTAAGCATAAACCCCACCAAAAATCTCAAGGAAAAACATAAAGAAAAAAAAAAAGAAGTATAAAAATTTAGCTAGAAGATGAAGGATAGTGGGTTGAACTGGTCCATGGCGGTGCAGGAAAATTTGGTGTGCTTTCTTGAGTTTGATTTCCTTGTGTCTGTGTCTGTGACTGTGACTGTGACTGTGAATTAACTGTTTGTTGTTGACTGGGGAACTGCAGAGGATTTGAAGAAGTAGCCGCCATTGACGAGGCATAGAACATTTGTTCTAAAAAGCTTGTAGGCTGCTGTTGTTGAAAATCGGCAGTGTTTTGAAGTAATTGCGAGTATTCCCAGTAGTCCCTTGCGGTTTCAGATATTTGAAATGGTTGGTTTTGGAAGAATGCTGCTGCTGCTGGTGGCGACGCGGCGGCCGCCGCTAGGGTCGTGGTTTGTGGCGGTGGCGGTGGCGGTGGCAAGTTTCTGACAGTTTCAGGGAAATTTAGTTTGGCTTTGTTGCCTCTGAATCTGAGTGCAGCTTCATCATATGCTCTAGCGGCTGCTTCAGCAGTTTCAAATGTGCCTAGCCATACTCTTGCAGCTTTGTGTGGGTCCCTTATTTCTGCTGCCCATTTGCCCCATGGCCTCTGCCTTACCCCTCTATATTTTTTTCTTCTTTCTCCCTGTTCTTCTGTTGAGGTTTCTGGTGGCGGCGGCGGCGGCTGTAGCTGGTGTTCCACAGTGGTGGTGGGGGATGGTGTAACACTTGTGCCACCTGCTTCTGCCACCTCTGGGACCAAAAACAATAAAAGATAAATGATCCAAGTCATTAAAATGCTTATCTTGAATTACTACTAGAAAACGGGCTATTAGCGACGCCTAACCAGTGGATAGAATTTGTCAATTTTTTGGCGACGATTTTGGACAAAAGTAAGTCGGTTCGATGTTATTTCACGTGAATCATAAGGTCTTTCATCAAAGTGTTCTGAAATATCTTCAGAACTAATAGCGCGAGTGCAGATTGAGGAACTCGAGCACCAACCTTAAGGATCGACTCGGATTCCACGATGTCGATTTTGAACATCATCAACCATGAAGTAGAAAATTTTTTAAGGATAAATCAGTGTTCAGCTTTGGAAACTAACCAGTTTTGACAGAGAATGATGATTCTCCAAACCCGCCATAGATCCTCTGGACTTGCTCTGGAAACTGAGTAACACTATAATCTTGATCTCGCGTTCTCTTCTGTCCAGTCCAAGATCCTGTACTCGACGAAGAATAAGGCGATGATGGCGAATACTGAATATTTCCAGAGCCACCAGCACCACTTGGATCAGGCCTAAAGCTCCACTCTCTGTAACTCCGTCCCGGGATGGCATGCGTTAGAGTTGGCACCGTTTCCGGCATCTCTCTCGTCTGACTGTATCCTGAAAACATTGGTTCCTCCGCCCCAGATAGTAGAAAGTTTCCTTGTTCTTGCTGTAGCTGCGATTGCATTCTTTCCCATGTTTGTATTTGTTCATAAGGCTGAGTAGTGGTGGCAAAGCTGGTAGTAGTGGTGGAGGTGGTGGTTTCTCTACTGCCTGATGCCGCCGGAACTCTGGTAAACTCGCCGCTTTCCCCCGGATTAGCCACCTTTAATATTACGTAACTGTACCCGATAAATCAAATTAGCAAGACCCCAAATTCCATATATATACAGCTTCAAGATCAACCTGTACATCCACTTCTGTATAGCAAATCAAACTTGAAGCTTGTTCAATGTAACAGTTCTCTCTCCCCTTCTCTCTCTCTCTCTCTATACACACACACACAAATACAGCAGGATCACCTTTTAGCAGTAAAAATCGACAAGCCAAATAATTAAAACCTGCTAAAGAAATTGCTTTTTGTTGAAGGTATGATGCAAAAGAAACAATCAAGAAGAGACTGGTAGGCAAATTCACACCGTTTGACTGAGGATGATGATGATGCCAGAATCTATCTTTTCCCCTTTGGAGCTTTTAATGTCGGTTTTGCACTTCGAGAGACGGAAGAGAGTTTATCTTTGAATTGGGTTCTTTGTATTCGATATTCATGAATAATTATGTATAAAATGAAAAAACGAAAACCATGAGTTTTATTATTTTCATTTTTTACCTTTTAAACGAGGTGGTTCTAGGCTTTTACGTTTTTCAATTAAAAATGGAGTAAAAATATAAAAATACGAATATCCCTCATTAGAGAGAATTTTCGTTTATTAATATTGAAAATAATATTTCAATTTAATTTACTTAAGAAAATTTCGTCTATAAACGAAAAGTATAAATGAACAAAATTTCATTTTGTTAAAGTAATAGTTGTAATAATACAAATAAGAAATAAAAACAAAAACAAAAGAAATCTTAAGTTGGTGATGAAATATTAAAAAATAAAAAAGAAAGTGAAGAATAATTTAAGTCCTTGTTTGACAAAGATTTTTCAGGACATATATGATTAAAAAGCAAGAAAAAATTATGAGAAAAATGTGAAAATAATATTGAATTGTAAAACGTGTTGTTGAAAATGAATGAGTAAGAAAAGAGATTGTCAAATAATCAAAATTAAACAAGAGCAAATCATTCTTCTTTAGTAATTGTCGACGAAATTATGCACAATGTTTTTACCCATTATCTTTGACAAGCAAACATTAGCGATCATTCAAAATATTGTTGATAATTTTTTCCAAATTTTCAACCTATATCATGTTGATGTTCAATGCTTTCACTCTATATATATATATATATATATTTATTTATTTATTTATTTTTTCAAATTATTTAGAATCGGTTGTACTAATGTACGTCACTATTTACATATTGACTTACAAATACATGTTGTTGTAAGATATGATTTGATTAAAACATCTTTAACCAAATAAAAAAACTTTCCACTTTTTTTGACATCTCATCAATCAAACTTTCTGTAACTCTTTATGTACAAACAGTATATCCATTTAGAATCGATTGTGATCCATGTACATAACTACTTACAAATTGGTTTACAAAAATATATTGGGGTAATTAGCACAAAACGTCCCTACCTTTCGATGTTTTTTGTGGAAAACGTTCCTACCTTTCGTTTTTTGGCGGATTATACCTTCACCTTTACCTTTTTTTGCGCAAAACGTCCTTCTGTCAACTCTCCGTTAAATCAAAAGGTAATTAGCACAAAAGGTCCCTATCTTTCAATATTATTGTGCAAAACGTCCATACCTTTCATTTTTTTGGCATAATTAGCACAAAAGGTCCCTACCTTTCAATGTTATTGTACAAAACGTCCCTACCTTTTATTTTTTAGCATTTTCACCCCTACCTTTCACCTTTCATTGCGAAAAAGGTCCTTCTCATCCATTTTTTCAATAAAATGATGATTTTACCCTCCTATTCAAATAAAACAAAAAGAAAAGAAAAGAAAAATAAATAATTAATTGTAATTATAGTCCTAAATCTTTCAAAATACATAGATAAATTCTAAACTTTTCACTACTGCCACTTTCATAACCCCACCAAGCCACCACCTATCCATTTAGCACTACCTTTCGACCACAATACCTATCGGACTCCACCATCACCAGCCTCACCTCGCTTTTTTCAATATCCTCCTCCATAGTATTGGTCACCAATCTGTCCAAAACAACCACATTTACGGTGGCAGAGTCTGGTGGGAATGGTGGCAGGAAGGTGGTATTATGTTGATTTATAGTTGGCAGCTTGATAGGTTGTGAAAGTGGTGGTGGTTGGGAATTTATGATTTCTTTGTAATTTTTTAAAAATTTAAGGACTATGGTTGCAGTTGGTTATTCATCTTTTCTTTTTGTTTTATTTAAATAGGAGGATAAAATCGTCATTTTATTGAAAAAAATGGATGAGAAGATCCTTTTTCGCAATGAAAGGTGAAAAGTAGGGGTGAAAATACTAAAAAATTAAAGGTATAGACGTTTTGCATAATAACATTGAAAGGTAGGGACCTTTTGTGCTAATTATGCCCAAAAATGAAAGGTAAGGACGTTTTGCACAATAATATTGAAAGGTAGGGGCCTTTTGTGCTAATTACCTTTTGATTTAACGGAACATTTTAACGGGGAGTTGACAGAAGGACGTTTTGCGCAAAAAAAGGTAAATGTGAGGGTGTAATCTGTCAAAAAACGAAAGGTAGGGACGTTTTGTACTAATTACCCAATATATTGTAGTGGAATATGATTGAATTAAAATTTCTTCAACCAAATAAAAAAAAATCACTTTCTTTTTGATGCATCATCAATATGTAACATTTTCTGTAACTCTTTATGTACATGTAGCAATATTCATTTAAAATCGATTGTGTGTATACTACCACTTACAAATTGGTTTACTAACATATGATTTGATCAAAATTTCTTCAACCATATAAAAAAAATTCCACTTTTTTTGACACATTATCAATCTGTAAAACGTGTTGGAACTCCTTGTGTACAAATAATATTATTCACGGTTGATTGTGCTACATATACATCATCGCTTACAGATTGGTTTACAAATACATAATATGTGAGGTACGATTGGATCAACATCTCTTCAACCAAATTTAAAAAAAAAAAAAAAATCACTTTTCCCTTTATTTTGACACATCATCAATCTGTAACACTTTTTATAACTCTTTATATACCATTATTATTCATTTAGAATCGATTGTGCTACATATACATTTATCGCTTACAGATTGGTTTACAAACACGTGATGCAATGAGATATGTTTGGATCTAAATATCATCAACCAAATAAAATTAAAACCTTCCCACTTCCAACATTTTTGGGCTTTTAGTGAAAGTATATAACCCACCCTCTTTCCATCATTAAATTGTCATAACCACGTAGGGGAAATTTCTTTAAAATCACACAGACATCCTCACTTCATCATGTATGTGGATGGTTTCAACAAGTCCACCAATAACTAAAGACATAAATGAAGTTCGATAATATTATTGTCTCTAATTTTATCCCACGATATATATTACAAATATTGGTTCGTATCAAGTATTATCAATAATTTTTACAGTGCTCATTTCTTTCAATAAATTTTTTTATGGTTATTTTTAAAACATCAAATTATTGTAATCGAACTTTGTCAGCGATCACATATCGGTATTCGGTACTCATTCATAATATTGTTGTCGATAGTTTTATTCAATTTACGGACATATGTTAATTTATTCAAGTACTCGATGTTCATTTTTTAGTGAAAGTTCATAATCCTCTTACTCCATTAAATTGCCATAACCAAGTAGCAAAATTTCACCCAGATCATCTTCATGTATGTGGACACTTTTGAGAAGATCCAAAAACTCAACAATAAATAAAAACACAAAGGAAGATGTCACTCATCACGCATCGGTGAACTGATCACTTATAGTATTATTTTTGCTATTTTTGTTCGAATTACGGAAAGATATTGACTTTTGTCGAGTAATATTAATAACTTCGTCGGTGTTCATTTCCTGTATTAAATTTCTGTATGTTTGGTTTTTGAAATGTCCTTTTGAAGATTTTGCTTAGGGCCTCAAATTGCTTGGACCATGTCTCGTACAACACTAAATTATCATAATATTATTGGTTTTAATTATAATGTCGGTAATTATATCTGTTGGGTCGAGTTACAGTGCCCGCATGAATGATCGTCGGATTGACACAATACAAACGCATGGGGAGTCGGGGTTATTTTATTCATGGGAAACCACGCTGAGACATGTGAGGGTGCGGTCACCCGTGAAGTCATCCTCACTGGTCGTTTGGCTTAACTCATATCTGTATTGCTGACAAATATTGATCAAGTGCTATTAGTGATTTTGACGTGATCATTTCTTCCTTTAAAATCTTTTTTATGGTTATTTTTTAAAATGCCCATTTAAAGATTTTGCCTAAAATCCCATAATGTATGGCTGCTTCTTGTAAAACACGAACTTATTATAAAATTATTTAACTTAATTTTTGCTACGTGAAATGGTCAATATTTTAAGCCTAATTTTTATGTAAGTACATTATCCTATTGCATCATTAAGGACATGTTCAATAGTAATTATGAGAATTGATTTTTTGACCGTTAGAGATAAAATTGAGTTTCATCTATGAGCGAAGAAGTTAAATTCAATTCTAACATGCAGAAAACAAATTATGAACACCATACGACCAAAATTTGCTACACATTTCCCAATACATGGATTAGAGCATATGATTTTGGTCAATTCCGCAATTCAGGACTCGATTAGTGAAGTGCACTTAAACAGCAAAATCACAGGCACACATATTAGAAATATGGAGCATGCTTGGTGTGTACAGGGTTACATGGGCCCTGTATAGCACCCTATAGGTGGGGCGCCTGCACTTTACACTTAGATTTATTCTAGAAATATCTCTTCATTAAATTTAGTGATCACGACGATTAACAGTTAAACCAAAGTTGGTGACTACCAATGTTTTAACGCACGACATTATTATCAATAATTATTGAAAAGTATGACTTGGTGATGGCTAAGGTATTGTTATCAGTAATTAAAAATTTTGAAATTATATTGACACTTTAGTCCGTTTTTTCCACGCCAATACAATACTCCGTCAATCAAAGCATAACTCAAAGCTCGTTTGGTTCACTGTGGCTTTAATGATTGCTTAAATTAACCATGCCACCCTTTCCTTTCCCCCAAGTCTCCCCCTTCCTTGCCTCTACTCTATTGCTTGAGAAATCTCGATCAGGGGAGCAAGGGAACACAAGAGAGAAGAGGGGCTGAATGTAAAGAACGTAATGACTATTTTTTAAAATATAAAGAAAAGATAAAATAAATACGATATTTCAATATTATAAATAAATCACGTTGTTACGCTTGATACTTCTTTATTTATTTAGTTGATCTATCAGAATGGTTGGTCGATATTTTCAATTTAGTAGAACTCAATAAAAGAAACGAGTATCGTTTCTTATGGACTCGTTAAGAATTATTCTACTTTTCTTCCATTTAAATTATTTTTATGATTATTCCTCAAAAGACCCCTTTAAAATTTTAAAAGACCCCTTTAAAATTTTATCTAACACCCCTAAGTTGTTTTAGCCTCCTCTGATACAACAAAAAAAGTGGGTAACTAGTACAAAAC